GATGAGGCACATGGTGAAGCGTGCTGTCATGAGGTCTCCCATCAAATGAGCTTTGGGCCTGGCCGATCTGGAGCGTGCTCAAGCCATGGTCTCCACACCCCAAACCCCGAGCACTCTGCCCAACCGAGTGCTGAGGCCAAGGCTTCAACGCAATTAGAGTCTTGCCGCTCCAAGACCAAACATCGCCATGACCACTAACGCTCCACACACGCTCATAGGGAGCGGTGCCACTGACTGCGAGACGGCACTGCTCGTGAGTATTCCCGCGGAAAAGACTACCGAACGTAGACCGGCATGGGCCCTTGGACTGTTATGCTGGCCACACTGACACTACTTTCCGTGCTGACCGTGTTTATTATGTTAATATTGCCTTCTCTTATCGCTGTCCGGATCCATTGTGTTATTATAATGTGCTCTTTCTTTTATTGACAAGCATGTGTCTTTTCTTGTCCACTTTGGACAGCAATAATTTAAGTGTTTCAAGCTTGAAGGTGATGTGATTACGATGCCTCTGGTATTTAACTGATTAATGCAAAAATGGTTTTGAATTATCAAAAGAGGGGAGTGTGGTGACAGTTTTTGGAGTAATTACATTAAAACCAGCCGCAGCAAATACACGGACGTCAAAGGCCTTTTATCAATGCAGAGACGACCTTCTGACGCCATGCTGAGCTTTGTGAAGGTCCCTGCTGTCTGTCACACCCTTGTGTCTTTCCGTCTTGCATCTGTATGACCTGCATTTCCACCATTGTCTGTCTGTTCACACCCCATGCCACTGCCACCACAGGGGATAGCGCCGGCGCTTCCTGTGCGCCTCCTCACCGGTGGCCCCCTCCGCTCCGTTGTGGGCGTGACTATCTTTGGTGTGTGTCTTGTATACAGGAAGCTCGGGGCTCTGGCCCCCAGAGCTGGGACATGCTGCTTTTGGAGTGTATGTGCTGGCTCTCCGCACTGTGCGTTAACAATAAACTTACGCTTTTGATCAGACAAAGGACCTTTGAGTTTTCTCCTTCATGGGGTATATAATTCTATAACAGTCTCCACAGGAGCAGTCCGCACATGCATTTTGACGCTCAAACGTGCGTCACCACAAATTCTAAATGGACTTTTAAATGTTTGGTTTCACCTTTATTTTCCTTGTAACTTTCAGAATGCTGTTCTGTTCATGACCAGATACAAATACAGCTCAGTGATAAAGCTAACATTGTTCTGTGTGTTTGATATTAAGGCCTTTTTATCTCAGGCGGTGGCCAGTGACACACCTGGACACGCAGTGGACCAGTGACACACCGTGACACACCTGGACACGCAGTGGACCAGTGACACACCTGGACACGCCCTGGACCCGCCCTGGACCAGTGACACACCTGGACCCGCCCTGGACCAGTGACACGCCTGGACCCGGCATGGACCAGTGACACACCTGGACACGCCCTGGACCAGTGACACGCCTGGACCAGTGACACGCCTGGACCCGCCATGGACCAGTGACACGCCTGGACCCGGGATGGACCAGTGTCACGCCTGGACACGCCCTTGGACCAGTGACACGCCTGGACCCACCATGGACCAGGGTCAAGCCTGGACACGCCGTGGACCAACCAGTATCAATGAAGTACAATAATACTGGTAGGTACATCCTGAACACACTTACGGTCATCTCTTAAAACACTCTGCTGCATCATTTAGAGTGTCATAAACTTAGGTTTGAGTGAGGGTGTCCCTTTTAATGCATGTGAATATCTTACACTTAGTATAGGTAATGTCTCATTTTCAGTTTAGCTGGTCCTCTCAGTCCTGGTCTGTCCTGTGTGTCACACACACAGATGTTGTAAATGTCTCATATTGAATATAGATGTCCTCATTAACACAGAGTCCTCTCAGTCCTGGTCTGTCCTGTGTGTCACACACACAGATGTTGTAAATGTCTCATATTGAATATAGATGTCCTCATTAACACAGAGTCCTCTCAGTCCTGGTCTGTTCTGTGTGTCACACACACAGATGTTGTAAATGTCTCATATTGAATATAGATGTCCTCATTAACACAGAGTCCTCTCAGTCCTGGTCTGTTCTGTGTGTCACATACACAGGGTGCTGTATGTGTAATAAAGTTGTTACCTGTTGTTGCTTTATTGGAACAGATAAATCTAGGGTTAATGAACATATTTGCAGTTTGAGGTTGTGTAGTGCTGTGGAAGAAAATGCTTGTCCCAGTTATTTACCTGCTGTTTACAGCTCTGGTGTATATTTCTCTTGTGTCAATTATCCTAACCAAACATGTCACAGGAATAGAATAGATGTGTTTCACTAGTTTATCTTAAAAGTTCCTTCTTTCCATCTTTTCATCTCCCTTGATGGATTTGAAGAATAATGGGGGCTGTTTAAATGTATATCTTAACAAGGAATAGGGGGTACAGATTATGTTTGCGGTCTTAAAAGGGGGCACAAGCACTGGTATATAGAAACTTCATCTATTTAGATGTTTTTGTCTTTTGTTGTTTTAATATTCTAATTCATCTCTCTTAATGTTTCAGAGTTGTTTCATCAAGGCGGATAACAGCAGTGAAGAAGCATCTGAGGCCTCTCATTGGTTTAACTGCCACCATTCAGCAGTGACATAAAGTCCAGGAAATGGAACACACAGTCTTGGAGAGTAGATCCATTCAAGATATTACGGATTTTGAGGTTTGGCCTTAAAGAGGTATTATAAGACTGAATTCTATATGGACATTTAAATGTTTGGTTTCACCTTTATTTTCCGTGTAACTTTCACAATGCTGTTCTGTTCATGACCAGATTAATGAGGTGAACAAATACAGCTCAGTGATGAAGCTAACATTGTTCTTTGTGTTTGATATTATGGCTTTTCTATCTCAGGTGGTGGCGGTCACTGGTCCATGGCGTGTCCAGGTGTGTCACTGGTCCATGGCGTGTCCAGGTGTGTCACAGGTCCATGACGTGTCCAGGCGTGTCACTGGTCCATGGCGTGTCCAGGCGTGTCACTGGTCCATGGCGTGTCACTGGTCCATGATGTATCCACGGTGTGTCACAGGTCCATGACGTGTCCACGGCGTGTCACTGGTCCATGGCGTGTCCGGGGGTGTCACTGGTCCATGGCGTGTCCAGGCGTGTCACTGGTCCATGGCGTGTCCAGGCGTGTCACTGGTCCATGATGTGTCCACGGTGTGTCACAGGTCCATGACGTGTCCATGGCGTGTCACTGGTCCATGGCGTGTCACTGGTCCATGGCGTGTCCGGGGGTGTCACTGGTCCATGGTGTGTCCAGGCGTGTCACTGGTCCATGGCGTGTCCAGGCGTGTCACTGGTCCATGACGTGTCCACGGTGTGTCACAGGTCCATGACGTGTCCACGGCGTGTCCGGGCGTGTCATTGGTCAATGACGTGTCCAGGCGTGTCACTGGTTCATGACGTGTCCATGGCGTGTCACTGGTCCATGGCGTGTCACTGGTCCATGGCGTGTCCAGGCGTGTAACTGGTCCATGACGTGTCCACGGCGTGTCACTGGTCTAAGGTGTGAGCAGCCCGGACACGTCATGGACCAGTGAGACGCCTGGACACGCCATGGACCAGTGACACGCCTGGACACGCCATGGACCAGTGACATGCCTGGACACGTCATGGACCAGTGACACGCCAGGGACACGTCATGGACCAGTGACACGCCATGGACAGGTGACGCGCCCGGACACGTCAAGGCGTGTCACTGGTCCATGACGTGTCCAGGCGTGTCACTGGTCCATGGCGTGTCACTGGTCCATGGCGTGTCCAGGCGTGTCACTGGTCCATGACGTGTCACAGGTCCATGACGTGTCCACGGCGTGTCACTGGTCCATGGCGTGTCCGGGCGTGTCATTGGTCCATGACGTGTCCAGGCGTGTCACTGGTTCATGACGTGTCACTGGTCCATGGTGTGTCACTGGTCCATGGCGTGTCCAGGCGTGTCACTAGTCCATGACGTGTCCACGGCGTCACTGGTCTAAGGTGTGTCCAGGTGTGAGCAGCCCGGACACGTCATGGACCAGTGAGACGCCTGGACACGCCATGGACCAGTGACACGCCTGGACACGCCATGGACCAGTGACACGCCTGGACACGTCATGGACCAGTGACACGCCTGGACACGTCATGGACCAGTGACACGCCATGGACACGTCATGGACCAGTGACACACCTGGACACGCCATGGACCAGTGACACGCCTGGACACGTCATGGACCAGTGACACGCTTGGACACGCCACGCCTGGACACGCCATGGACCAGTGACACGCCTGGACACGCCACATCACTGGTCCATGGCGTGTCCGGGCGTGTCACTGGTCCATGGCGTGTTTGGGCGTGTCACTGGTCTATGACGTGTCCAGGCGTGTCACTGGTTCATGACGTGTCCATGGCGTGTCACTGGTCAATGGCGTGTTACTGGTCCATGGCGTGTCCAGGCGTCTCACTGGTCCATGACGTGTCCACGGCGTGTCACTGGTCTAAGGTGTGTCCAGGTGTGAGCAGCCCGGACACGTCATGGACCAGTGAGACGCCTGGACACGTCATGGACCAGTGAGACGCCTGGACACGCCATGGACCAGTGACACGCCTGGACACGTCATGGACCAGTGACACGTCATGGACCAGTGACACGCCTGGACACGCCATGGACCAGTGAAACGCCATGGACCAGTGACACGCCTGGACACGCCATGGACCAGTGACACGCCTGGACACGTCATAGACCAGTGACACGCTTGGACACGCCACGCCTGGACACGCCATGGACCAGTGACACGCCACGCCGTGTCACTGGTCCATGGCGTGTCCGGGCGTGTCACTGGTCCATGGCGTGTACGGGCGTGTCACTGGTCCATGGCGTGTCCGGGCGTGTCACTGGTCCATGGCGTGTCCAGGCGTGTCACTGGTCCATGGCGTGTCACTGGTCCATGACGTGTCCAGGCGTGTCACTGGTCCATGGCGTGTCCAGGCGTC